GACGTCTTCTCCATCAGAGGTCAGTCGAAAAGACGTTGTGATTGGCTTAGATGATTGTCTATCAGAACACTCATTAACATAATTACCCGTTAAAAAATCGACGGGTTCCTGCAGTGTCGATAGATGGCCATGCAGAATAAACCAGTCAGGGTGATTTTGTGCCAACACCTCCATTTCTCCATTTCCATTTGTTATTTGATTTAAACTACAAAAACAAGATAATCGCCTCGACTGCGCCAGTCTAGAAATTCACTTATAAACTCCAAATTGAAATTTCGAACGCGGCGTCCGCTGGACATATTTACGTTGCATAAACGCGTATTATATTATGGTAACCAAGTTGATGCTTTAAAATAAAATAAAGTTCAATTTAATCCAGATCAAACCGAATTTGTGTATCTAGGGGATGTGTGTTGCATACATGTGATTAATGGTTAAACAAATTTGTCATTTCAGATGCACATCGTGACATATGACACTAGCAGATTTTCAAGTGGCACAGAGGCCACTGGACAGCCAGATGGTTTGGCCGTTTTTGCTTTTCTAATTGAGGTACGTAGCTACACCATACACTTACGAACTTATATGAATGATTTGGATCAGGACTTGGATACATTTTTGTAACAAAGCCACAAAACGTGTTTTTGTTTATTCAGTATAGAACTACAATGATATGATAGGTAGGGCCTTCAAACCTCGCACACATGTTAATGTGAATGTGCCTGCAAAGAGATCGAACGTCACGTTAACTATGTGCTTACGCAATAAAATAAGTGTGCTTTGTAATTCTTGACCATTCAGTGTTGATATTGCCAAATCTGGCAACTCCGTCCGGAATGAAAACAAATTCCTCAGAGAATGAAATAACTATGGCTCTGTTCTGGCGTTGGTGTTATCTAGTGCTGCTTCTCACAAAAAATATATGACGCTTGACCAGTAGAGTGTTTATGATATCCCCAAATAGTCATTATTTTTGGAACAGTTGAAACATCGGTGACTGCTTTGTCTCGTTCCCGTGAAGCGGCATACAATGACCAATCACATCACTCAATCAATGTTACGAACTATTTTATTCATGTGTCGTTTATACCATTCTAGCTCCAAGATGAAGATAACGAGGCATTCTCCGAGTTTTTCGATTTGTTCGAATATATTGAAGAGGATGGTATGTATCACTATTCACACCTTTAGAACTAAACCACTTTATAATATAATAATATATGGGTCTCAAACGCACGTGTCGCGTATAAAATGTCTTGTTTATTCCCATAAAAGCAAGACTATAATAACATTATCCCATATGTTTGTTCACGTATTGAGTTTACGTTAGTTGTTAACTCCACCGTGAAAAATACTGGTACTGTAGAAATTCCTAAAACAATTTGTTATACCAGTAAAGATAAATACAAAACGCGCCCTGCATTGTTATTACATTTTCAATTCATAAAAGTCCTGTCCATCAATCAGACACGAAAATAGGATATGTGTTGTTTCAATTTAGAAGCTAAACAGGATTTTTAGGGAGTTAGAAGATGATTTTTAAAAATGTATTCATTGTGATAAATTGCAGGTGATGAATATGAGCTGGAAACTCCCTTCAGTATCGAGTCTTTATTGCCAGAAGACAGATCGGCATTTTACCGTTATTCCGGTTCACTGACTACACCACCATGCTCTGAGGGCGTGGTTTGGACTAACTTCGTCAATACCATCAAACTATCTGAAGATCAGGTGAGGGCTGGATCAGCATTTATAATGGGGGAAATTGGCTTTAGTGATGTTGCTTTGAAGAACCAGTCGACTTTCAGTGAATATACTTTATCGTCGAAACTTTTTTGAGAGCGCGAAAGCCGATACTTGTTTTTTGCCTTTCAAACAATATTCCATTGCATCCAATCTTTCTCAATATCGATGTATTTTAGACAAGCAGATCACTTATGAATTTCCGTCATTAGTTTCAAGTTAGTATAACCGTAATGACATCATATTATTGTTATTTTTTATTACAGTTGAACAAATTCCGTGGCTTGAAAGATGAATTAGAACAAAACATGAAAGATAACTTCCGTGCAATTCAACCTCTTCGTAGTCGTACTCTTTTCATGAACAGTTGTTAAATCGATGATATACATTCAAACGTTATGAAATAAATAATGTCATTGTCACTTATTTATATGTGCTTAAATTATTCATCGTGTGAGTGACCTGACTAGAAAAGGAACATGAGAGTGCCGCAAACAGAAATAGAAACAGAGAATGAGAGTGGTCCAGCCAGAAAAGGGTGCACAGGTCCAACAAGAAATGTCAGGTGAAGCCACGTATATGCAATGCAGCGAACCATTTATTTACCAAGACACACATAGTAGACTAAAAGTAAACTAAAATGGTTGATATTACATTGTATGAACTGCACATGTTTACTGCTTAAATCTAAAACTGAAAAACAACATTAGCATTGAATTAGGATTCTACATTCTCAAAAAACTAGCACGAGCTATCTAAATCGAACACTGACGCTCTGACAATGCAACTTACATGACTAGGGGAGAAAATTCAAAATAACGGAATAATTAACAAAAACGACACTCCATGTTACTCGCAAGCCGATCAACCACGACAAACTAGGAATAAAAATCATTCTTAAAGGACATTCCTGCAAACCTTCACCAATTGCACTATTGGCGTGCCCAGGTGAAGGTGTTAGTCCTTGTGACAACAAAATACAAACAAACAAATTACACAAAAACTAAATATAATAATTGCACATTTAAATTGACAACGGCACTGTGAAGAGAATAGCCTAGTCTGATATCTAAAACCTGTTTCTCCCACTTAAATACCCTTAGTTATGTTGCCTCTCCCACCATACTTTATGTGTTTTTTTTCCATCACGAACATAGAATGTTTTACAGCTGTATTGCGGAACTCGGTAAACAATGTTTTATTTGGACTCGCCACATCCAACAAAATACAATACACACTTACATAAGGCGATGTTCATGGTCACATAGATAAAAGCGAACGATCGCGAGTAAATGCTCGTACACCTACATACCTACGTTTTGGGAACTGACAGGCAACTAGTCAACAGCATAATTATCTTTGGCATATCTGACTTCCACTGGCCTTAGCGTTTCTAACATCTATCACCCGCAACTGCGTTGACAGTGACTGTTACAACATATACCCGCAACGCCTGACAATCTCCTTTGCTCTGGTGTAACACAATTTTGATGTTATTGGCCAGAAAGCAATCGACTTTTATATAGAAACGACTCATGTGCCACTAGCTTGGTCATATCTCATGTTAACTAACTTAAGAGGTGAAACTAATCCATCCTATAACTTTGCATCAATTGCCCGCTCAGTATTAAGACAATAGGAGTTGTGGTTTAGTTTAAACACTATAGAAAATATTGCTGACACGTTGATGTTAGACAATGTTCTAATAGTGTTTAAACTGGTGCATTCGCCAGTGGTTATAGTGGGTATATTGTTGGCCTGGATGGGCATGAAACCATGGGTAGATGGTAAGATGCTGCAATCATCAAGAGATCCACGCTGCTGATGTCAAGAGAACTCGAGGAGTTATTCGCATGGTACTTGGTAACAGTGCTGGCTTGTTGGGCTTAATGTGCTGGTACGCACAGTTATCCAGAATGTGGCTATAATACTGCAGGGTGGCGGTAAGGTACCTTAGCTACAGTAGGTAGCGTTAAGTATTGTGGCGATTGTGAATGTCTTTCATATTCTTGAGATGGGCACAGAGAAAGCAGAATAATAAAGAGGATATGATTAGTAAAAGGATTTATAATGATGATCAATGATAATATAATCCAACTGGTATCCCTCAATCTGTCATTGAACTTTGGCAATATTTTATAATTACTAGAAGTGTAGAACACATAATCAAATATATATTTAACTTTCAATTGAATTTTAAGATCCAAACAGTGATACACATTTTCTAGTTTGTTATATTCGTAATGTTTACTGACGACACGAGTAGTGTTTTTTAGGGGGTGGTCGTCACACTGTGCAAGATTTATGTTAACTCATTTTCGTACAATCTAAAACGGAAAATAACTTGTTTAGTAATAGAAATGTACGTTACTATACAGTAAATCTGTATGCTGTTAAATTACGTTATGCGTTATAATTATGACTAATATCATAATTTGGTTATCGGACATTTCATCACTTATGATAAACATGTGTTAAAAACTAACTTTATAGTGATCCGATTATAAGTGAGTACATTTTGTGGTTTAATGTTAACTACCAAATATGTTTACAAATATCGTATGATTTTAGATTTGTACGTGTTTGAATATGTATGTTACATATTCAGTAGATAAATATACTAAAGCATTGAATTTCTGATTGAGCATGATCATACGTGATCAGTACAAGACTGCCATAATAAATAAAAGAAATTGACCTCCCTTGTCCACACTTAACAGTAAAAACCGGTAGGTCTTACCTTGGTCGGGAACGGAAGTACATGTATTTTACATTATTCTTTAGTTGAGAGACGGCAACATTGCGTCCACGCCGGTAACAAGTCTGATACACAATTTTGAGAAATTCCAAACACTGATTATTGACAGTTTATCTTCGTAAAAATATACACAAGTTGAATAAAGTTTATTGTCAACATATTCAAACAACATGCGCAATCAAATAATGCAATCATTTACAAAAACTAGTACATCCAGCGTTCGGAACGCGTTTGAAAGAATTATCCTCATACGTCATTACCCATCACAAACTTAGGCATGATACAGATTAACTTAAATAGTGGTATTGCCCAAGACGCCCAACCTGTTTATTAGAACATGGACATGCATCCCAACACATTCATGGTTTAAGAACCATTGTGACGACAGCGAGTAATTTAACTGAACGTGGTTATTATTGCTTTCGGTCAGTCGGCGTAATGGGCAGAGGAAATGCTAAGCACTTGAGCCAATCACTATATATTAGAATTTGATTGAAAGCTCATCGACATTTACAATTGTTCAGCTTGGTGTTTGTCACCGTATCATTATTTTTTTGATTATAAAATTACCGATTTTTTAATGAAAACTCACATTATTGTAATTATTAGTGTCAAATAGATTGGATTAAACTTATCTGGTCACATTTATTTTCTTGGCCGACGATAACAATCGGTTCAGGGGCGTCTACAGACATATCATGACGCACTAATAAGAACCTATGAGAGTGCGGCCCCCTGGTTTGCGTAAAAGTCTACATAACTACAGATTTTCAACAGTTTAAGGATACAGCCATGAATAACTTCATTATTGTGATCGTGTTGGCAGTGTTGGGCAGCTCACATGGAGCACCATCAAAGAGAAGCTTCAGGGTCGAGTAAGTAGGATTTTAAATTTTACTGAGACCGAAATCGTCCCACCTCCACCCGCGATTGGATTCTACCCTTACACCATTTAGAAATTCAATGCTACAGAATAAAGTGAGTGTTACGTTTTCAGATTATAAAATACCTTATGATCGGGTAAATTCTATAAATATGAGTGATATAATTA